ACAATCCACCATCCATCCACCCACCATCCACCATCCATCCACCCACCAAACACCATCCACCATCCATCCACCCACCAAACACCATCCATCCACCCACCATCCACCCACCATCCACCATCCACCCACCATCCACCCACCATCCACTATCCACCCACCATCCACCATCCACTATCCACCCACCAAACACCATCCATCTACCCACCATCCATCCACCCACCACCCACCACCCCACCATCCATCCACCGTCCACCTCCTTGCACCTTTCCAACCTTTCACCCACATTGCCACCTTCTGCTCTTGACCCTGGGCTGAGCAAAACGGCAGAAGACTCGCGCTCCTCCCCTTGACCCTTTCATTGGCCGCCATTGCTGGACGACCCCAGCAATGACGTCCTGCCCTGGCCCCTCACTCTCTTCAGCTCAGGCCTTCATCCAGCCACTTCCAGATGTGCCCAGGTCCCTGAAACTCAACCCCTGTGGCTTCATGGTCTTACCTCGTCACCCCTACCCCGTTGGCTCCACTGTGACTGTGACAGGAGCTCCCAGGCAGTGGTCCTACTTCCTGTTCCAGTTCCCACACTTGCCTAGTCTGCCTGTCCTGCCTCTGCAGCAAGTCTCGGTCCTCCTGTGCCAGCCACTGTCCCGGCCTCACCTACCCTTCCGGCCTCTTTCTCATCTCCTGCCTCCGGCCTTACCCCGACCTCTCGTCTTCTCCTGATATTGACCAGAGATACCCCCGAGCTCCCCAAGCCTTGAGGTCATCCCTCTGGCCTAGCCCTGACCACACGGCCTCTGTTTTCTCTTCCCTGGCAGCCCCTGAGGGTGGGGACCAGTAAACTCCTATCCGTCCTTCAATACCCCACACCAGTGTCCCTCCTCCAGGACACCTCTCCTGGGGCCCTGGGGCCTCGCCCAGGCCCCTCCAGGCCCCAGTCCTGACCGCACAGGGGCTGGAGGGGTCACCCCCTTGGAGGCTGGGAGCCCAAGCTGCTCTTCACTCCCCAGGGACCAGCTCCTTGTCCCCTCTGCAGGAGCCCTCCGCAGGCCAGCTGGGGGTCCCTGCAAGTTGGGCACTGACCGCAGTTTGGTCTTCTGCACGGAGAAGCAGTACTCGTTGATGCCAGTGGTGGGCATGCGGCTCCGCAGGACGTCCTGCGCCGTGGGGATGTAGCCGTCCTCGGTGATGCGCTCCAGGTGGGACAGGTAGCTGTGGGACCAGAGCCCGCGGCCCGTGTTGCAGCCTGTCCCTTGGCTGTTCAGCCCCAGGACACAGCCCCAGGAGGCGCGTGAACGCGAGGACAGGGCCCCCAGCCCCTCACCCTGGGCGTGCGGTGTCACCTCAGGAGCAGAACCGCCCCAGGGAGAATGTCGCCCTGTTGGGGGGCCACCCACGCTGGCCTGCACTGCCCAGCTCTGGGGGGGGCCGGCCCCTGGCCTGGGTCCACGGGGGCTGCTCCTCTGACTCTCCCTGCCCCCAGCCCCCCACGCCCATGGCCTGCCACCCCAGACTCACTACACTGCCGAGTCCAGCAGGTGGAACTCACGCCGGCGCTCATAGCAGGCCTGGACGCCAGCATCCTGCCACAAGTACTGCACGGCCACCGCACAGCGCTGCTCGAACGCGGTCACCTTGTAGGGATCCTGGCTCATGACCAGGCTGGCGTGGTGCTGGAGAGAGACACGGGGGGAGGGGTCTTAGAAGTTCTAAGCTCAAGCTGGGCCCGGTGGCCACGCCTGTCATCCCAGTGGCTCAGGAGGCTGAGGCCGGAGGATCAGGAGTTCAAAGCCAGCCTCAGCCTCAGCAACTCCGCCAGGCCCTGTCCCTAAATAAAATATAAAAACGGGCTGGGGTGTGGCTCAGTGGTGAGTGCCCCTGGGTTCAGTCCCTGACACCAAAAAAAAAAAAAGACCTCGATAGACGGAGGATGCGCCACGTTCGTGGATTGGGAGGCCTGGTATTCACAGGTCGTTGGCTCTCCATCGACTGATGTGCATTCGATGCAGTCCTGATCAGAGTCCCAGAAAGGTAGTGGGGTGTGTGTGTGTGTGTGTGTGTGGCAGAGAGAGGAGGCACATTGTTTCTGACACACACGAGGAGTAGGAGCAGCCCAGCCGCAGAGCGGCCCTGGGAGGGGCCTCCGTGGGGGACAGGCGTGTGCACTGAAGGGCAGGTCAGCAGAGCCAGAGAACAGACAGGGACCCAGCCCCGAGCACCCGCGGCCCCGACTCATGGCGGCACCGGGGCTGACGTCAGTCAAGGGAGGACCGTGTCCTCGGCATGGTGACAGCCGGACGCCCACAGGACAGAAGGGACAGGGAAATTGCCGCCCGCCTCACGCGCTGCACGACCGACCCCCGTGGAAAGTCGAGCCAGAAGCGGACAGCGGAGCCGGACCGAGAGATGGGCAGGAACGGGGTCTCCCCACAGGCCCAGGTGGACACCGACGCACACCAACAGGACTGGCCAGAAGAGATGGAGACACTGGACTCACGGGGAGGAAGGCTCTGTCCCGCAGACACCTTGACAACAGAGGGAGGGCGGACGCTCTGGGGTCCAGGACACGCAGGATGGGTCACAGGTCAGGGAGGAAAGGGCTTTGAAGAGGGCGTGAAGCGGAACACGGGCAGAAGGCATAGCGGCTCGGGGGGAGGGGGACGCGGGAGGCCGAGGGCTGTCCCCAGCATCCAAAGCCACGGGGCAGGTGCCCGCTTCTCGTGCCATAAGGAGACGCAAGCCAGCAGTGAGCTTGCCACAAGGAGACGCAAGCCACACCAGGACCCCTGCACCCCGGGGCCCAGGAGCTGGAGGGGGGTCCCCGCCTGGGCTTGGGCAGGTGCTGGAAGTGTGGAGGTGGGGTCCCAGGTCACTGGGGACTGCCCAGCCCCTTCACCTTCCTCTTGTTCAGTCCCCAGCCCCGAGATGGGTGCCCCTGCCCACAGCAGCCCCGAGCCACGGGCCACACGCCATGGAGGGGGGGCCCAGGGGAGCCAGAGTCACCCCCCCTCGTCACTCTCCCAGGGAATAAAGGGCTGGGGGACCAGCCTGCCCAGGGGACCGGCTCCCGGAGCCACCCACCCATCAGAGCGACAGACTTCCCATATCTCCCGAGATAACCCGACGTCCAGCGAATGGGATGGCCACAGGGCCACGCCTCTCACAGTGCACACGGGCCCAGCAGGCGAGGCCAAGTGACCGCCTGGTCCCCACAGGCCACCCGGGGAGACGGACGGGGCCTGTCCTCCCAGGAGGTGACTGGGGAAGGGGCCTCTGGCGACAGGCCTGCTGCCCGCCCTGCTCCCCCCGGGGCGGTGGCCCACTCGGCTGCTGCCTGGAGTCCTGTCCTGGCTTTTTAAACCGTGGACGTTTTTGTGCCTCGATGGGGCTTTTGTCTGATTCTGAGACAGGGCCTGGCTGGGTCGCTGAGGCTGGCCTGGAGCCTGCGGTCCTCCGGCCTGGGCCTCCCAGTCACTGGGGGCAGGTGCGGCTCCACGCCTGGTTTCGGGAGTCCTAAGTCCCTGAGGTCCCGGCCCCCCAGGGCACCACCACTCACCTGGGACAGGACTGGAGTCAAAGCTCAGAGCTTTTCAGATTTCAGACTCGTTTCGTGACACAGACGGGGACACCAGCTCAGCCCAGGCCTCTCAGGGTCTGGTGGGCTCCCCACCTGGTCTGGGGGTGCGCCCTGCCTCGGGGGCTCACCTCGCTCTCGGGCCTGCTGAAGGGGATCTGCAGCCTGCCCATGGCCTCGATCAGGGCCTGCATGGACACAAAGATGTTCTGGTAGACCAGCGGCCGGAAGCCCCGGCGCTCCTCCTCCGAGTAGCCGTTGCCGTGGATGATGCGCATCTGCTTGATGAAGGTGCTCTTGCCGCTCTCGCCAGGACCTGGGGACACCCACAGAACCAGCGCTCAGCCCCTGCCACAGGGCACCGGGCAGCCAGCCGGACGCTGGACCTCACCCTCGCTGTGTGCCCTGGGCCGGTGACGCCGAGCCCCGGCCTCCCCCCGGGGAAGTGGTGTGGGGGCTGCAGAATCCACCGTCCAGTCTCCCCACAGGGGTCAGCACCCTGCGGCCCGCAGGTCCAGCCAATTGCCTACTGCGCGTGGCTGGCCAGTTTACGCACTCAGTGTGGTTTTCTCCAATTCCGACTCTTGTTGGGGTTGCAGTTCCCGCATTGTAAAAAGACCGAGTCGAAACAGTAGTTCACGTCGCGTGAAAATCACGTGAACATCGCATCTCCGCGTTCACGACGCAGTTTTAAAACACGTTGGTTTTTCAGTTGGACACCACACCCTTATTCTACCGATCCATCTCTGTGTGGTGCTGAGGCTGGAACCCAGGGCCGCGTGCTGGGCGAGGGCTGCACCCCGGAGCCCCGTCCAGCCTCACGATGGGTGTGGGAAGGGATGCAGCCACAGCCCAGCAGGAGCAGAGTCTGCCCGGCACGGAGCCGCAGGGGCCAGGGGCCTGGTGGGGCAGACGAGTCACCGCTGGCCTGGCTCGTGACGAGCCACAGAAGTGCTTTGCATCAGGACTGTGGGCTAGGATCATTCAGGGAGGGAGACTCCCAGGAGGAAATAAACCAGGACCCACAGGTCCAGTGATGTGAGGGCTGCGAGGGGCTCGGGAAGACTCCCAGCAGAGGTGACCTGCAGGTCGGGGTCTGAGGCCAGGGCAGTCCCTCTTGTGCCAAGACCAGGAAGAAGAGCCTTCTGGGCAGAGGCAGAGCCATGCAAAGGCCCTGGGGTTGGAGGGGACTGGCAGGTTGGAGGCACAGCAGGGAGCGGTGTGGCTGGGCAGGGTCCGGGGCTGTGGGAGGACCTGGGCTTGGACCCCGAGGGAGGTGGGAGCCATGGAGGGCTGTGGGCAGAGGAGGGAGAGGCCTGGTTCGGGTGCTCAAAGGCACCCTCTGCAGGGAGGACAGATCCCGGGGGTGGGGCGGGCCTGGAGCCAGAGACCAGGTGGAGGTGACCGTGCTAGTCCAGGTGGGCAGTGATGGGCTCCAAGCTGCCCCCGGGCAGCTGGGGAGAGGGGGACGTGCTGGGTGGCCATGCCTGCAGACAGGAGCAGGGCACAGGCCTTGCAAAGCTCCCGGCACAACTTGAAGGCGGCTCGGAGGAAGGCTCGGGCCCTCCCTGCCCGCCAGGCTGCACCTGCACAGCTGGCCCTGGCCTGTGACCACTCCACTGGGCCACCGATGCCCAGGCCACGGCCCGGCCTATGTCCAAGGCTGACGCCAAGACGGCCCTCTGCTTGTCCTTCTCTGCAAAGCCTCTGAGCCTGGAGGGAGGCAGGGCAGGAGCTGGCCACCGGGCCCTGGGGTACGCTGACCGGGGCCGTCCTGGGCACGGGGAGTGGGGACCAAGTCCTGTGCCTGGCCCGGGAGGGAGGCAGTTAACTCGGGAGGAACTGGGACAAGCCGTGAAAAGGGAAGGGTGGCCAGGCCAGAAAGGGGAACCAGGAGCCGGCGGACCACCACCCGCTGCCCGCCAGGCGCCCGGCAGCTCCCTCCGCATCTGTGCGGGCGGGTGGCGGCCACCTGGCCTCTGAGCCTCCCTGGTGTCCAAGACAACATCTCTCCCACCGAGGAGGACATACCTGGGGAGTCGGGACGGCTGGCAGAGTGGGCATGGGTGCAGGCGGGCCGAGGGCGGCCCTGCCCATCACCGACCCCAGCCATGGTGCTGGGTCCTGGTTCCCAGAGGGACTCGGATCCCCGAGGCTTCGGTGGGGCAGGAGTCAGCCGGCAGCTCAGCTGCGCGGCTCAGGGAAACCAGGCGTGTGCCAGTCAACTCTGCCAGGGCCACTCAGCCACCAGGCCGCTCGGCCACAGGCCTTCCCACTGGTGGGGCCAAGGGCAGACGCCATCGCGCAGTCCACACGCAGTGAGGGTGGTGAGTGTGTCGTGTGTGCTCACGCACGGTCTGAACACACGCAGCTCCCGCGCCTGTCCCCGAACAGAGCCCCCCAGGTCAGTCAGGGACGCCGTCGGGGTGGAGCTGACTTCCCATCGCCTGGTGACAACAGAGCTGGGTGCCTTCCTGCTGTCACAGCCATGCTGGTAATGCCAGGCGGGAGGAAGCAGGGCATGTGGCTTGCGGTCACTGTGGCACGTGGCACTTGAAGTGGTGCCTGGTGGCCATGTGGCCGGCTCACACCCTGAATCTAGGAGACTTTCCTGGTCCTGGGGACTGATGCAGGCTGCTCTGCTGCCAACCCACGTCCCGAGCCCGAGTCCAGTTTGAGGCAGGGTCTCAGCAAGTTGCTTCGGGTCTTGCTAAGTTTCCCAGGCTGGCCTGGAACTCAGATCCTCCCGCCTCAGCCCCCAGAGTCTCTGGGAGTCCGGCACGACCGGCACGGCCCCCGCCCGAGGTCCATACTTCACTCTGGATCGTTGTTTTAGAGCCCACGCCACTCATCCAGAGAAGGCTCAGCGTGGACCACCGCGGGGTTCGCGGCAGTGACCTCCGCCTCTCATGCTTACAGCGTGTCTCGATGGCCCAAGAGGCCACGTGGCGCGACCGACCTGTACCGCCTTGGTGTGTGCGAACGGGCACCCACCGAAGCCACCTGGCAATGCGCTCAGCGGGACGTCCCCTGGGGCACAGGAGGCAGGGGCAGGAGGATGCTCTGAGCCCAGAGTCCACGGCCCACAAGACCACGGAGGAAGGAACGGGGAGGGAGGCTCCACCCGCCCCTCGTTACTGTGCGTGCGCATGTGTGCACGTGTGTGTGAGCATGTGTGCACGTGTGTGAGCATGTGTGTGAGCGTGTGTGCACGTGTGTGTGAGTGTGTGTGCACGTGTGTGTAAACGTGTGTGCACGTGTGTGTAAACGTGTGTGAGCATGTGTGCACGTGTGTGAACATGTGTGTGAACGTGTGTGAGAGCGTGTGTGCACGTGTGTGAGCGTGTGTGCACGTGTGTGAGCGTGTGTGCATGTGTGTGTGAGCATGTGTGCACGTGTGTGAGCATGTGTGTGAGCATGTGTGCATGTGTGTGTGAGCGTGTGTGCACGTGTGTGAGCGTGTGTGCATGTGTGTGTGAGCATGTGTGCACGTGTGTGTAAACATGTGTGTGAGCGTGTGTGCACGTGTGTGTGAGCGTGGCAGAGACCGCGAGTAGTACAGGAAATGGGGCGCGACGTGGCCCTGCACAGGAGAACCCAGGGGCGACCTCCAGGGCATGAAGTTATTTCTCAGTAAAAAGTCGGGAGAGAAGGGGCCCGAGCGCCAGGTGAGGCCCGGAGCAGGGAAGGTTTGTGGGGGGACGTCCGGAGGCCTGCAGTCCAGCCAGCGGACACCGAGACGTGCCGCGTGACCCCGCCCCACCCCTGTGGCCAGGGCAGGGGGTCTGCAAGGTGCCACGGGGGGCTGGAGGGGGTCACATCTAAAATCAAGCCACGTAAGAGGTCCCGGCGGGGCGCGGGCCAGCAGGTCGGACCCTCCGCTCCGCACAGAGACACAGACAATAAGGGCTGCCCGTCCACGGCGACAAACAAAGGTGACAAAAGAAATCACCTTAAAAACAAGCCAAGGCTCCCAGGCAACGGCGCAGGTCCCCCCTGAAGCTCTGGGGACCTCCCAGCGTGGGCCTCGGGGGCCACTGCGGCTCAGGCCAGGACTCCCTGCAGCTGGGGGGAGACCCCCGAGGGCTCCTGCAGTGGACGGAGGCGCGGCCGTGGGGAGACGCCTGCACCCCGCGGGGCTGGCAGAGATGGCCGTGGGCTCCTGAGCACCGTCCTGCCCCAGCCTCACCAGGAGAGGCTGCTGCTTGGCCTCTTCTCACGGGGAAATGAGTCTCAGCTGGGCAGGGCACGGCCCTAGGTCTGCTGGCCGCCCAGCTCCCCGGTCAGTGCAGAGCTGGGCCCCGAGGGCGGGCAGGCAGGCGCCTTGTGTGAGCTGCGCCCAGCCCCAGGACCCAGGGTTCTAACTGAACCCGCTTCTGTCGAGCCTGGCCCTGTCCTGACTGTCATGTCCTCGCGCTCACGGCAGCGGGTGTGAGGCCCCAGCAGAGGCCCCGCGGGTCCTCCTCATTCCTCAGACTCCCTCTGTTTTCCACTCTCAGGGGATCAGAGAGCTCAGGTGACGCGCCCAGGACCACACAGCGAGGAAACAGGAGGAAACCAGACCCTGGGCCAGCGTGTCACCGGGTGGTGACAAGACATTTCCATGCACACTGGGCCGCCAGGCAGTCCCCTGGGAGCCGCGTCGAGGCCTGCAGCAGGGGACGGGCTTCGACCTCTCTCCTCTACCTGGTCCCCAGAGGCACACGCTAGCGGCCATCCCGCGGGAGCAGGCCCTGCTGTGGAGGTGCCGTGGACGTCAACCTCCCGAGTTTCATCAAAGGCAAAAATCACCATGATGACCATGACAATCGTTGGCGGCTCACAACGCGGGCTCTGGGACTTGCGGATGGACTGTAGCCAGGGGACCCTGCCTTTGCCGCCTGTCACCGTCCTCCCGGGCAGAGGTGGGGTCTGCCCTAGGGCACCTGAGGGCCCAGGCTGCGAGAGCAGCTGTCATGGCGGGTGCCGAGCCCCGGAGTCACGGGGCACTCGCGGGCCTGGGGAGCCGGGGAGCCAGGCCTGCGGAAAGCGGGCAGGGGGCTGGCCACGCGGCCTGGCTCCCGCCCAGACTTGCTGCTGGGCCTCAGTGTCCCTCTCTGTCACTGGGGTTTGTGGCTCTCCTCCTCCTGAGGGACGGCAGAGCGGTGAGGAGTGCAGACGGCCACCACTGGGTCCACCTCCCTGGCCTCCGCCTCGCGGCCCTGTGGACAGTGGCTCCTCCTCTCCCCACGGTTGGGGACCGTCTCACCTCCACCCAGCACTTGGCCAACTTCCTCAAAAGGATCAGTCATCGCCAGGAGAAAGCGTCACTTTTAGATTCGATTCCTGTTTTCAGGGGGGTGTGGAGGCAGCCCCCAGGCGGGGGGTGGGGACAA